TACAATGGTTTAACATTAGATTTAGAATGAAGGTAATTTAGCACATTAACAAAATAGTGAAGCAAGTCGCATGATTATCTCAACATGCAGAAAAGCATTTCATAAAATTTGGCATCTATTTATAATTTAAAAAATTTTAAAGCAAATTAAGAATAGAAGGTTATCTATAAAACCAAACTAAATACTTGACAGTGAAATGTTCAAAGTTTGCCTTCCATCATCAGGAACAAAACACAAATGTCTATTAGCACTACTTTTATTCAACATTTTAGCGGAGATTTCAAACAAAGTATTTAGGCAAGAAAATAAAAGAAAAAAGACTGGAAATGAAGAAATAAAAGTGTCCTTTGCAGGTGATATAACTATGTATTTAAAAATGCAAGATAATCTGTGCATAAAGTATTACTATAAGTAACGTTGCTGGATGCAAGGTCATTGTGCAAAATCAACCGCATTTCTATCTGCCCACAACAAACAGGAGCTGAGATTAAGAAAATGACATATTTATAACAGCATACAATAATCAAATACTGAGGAATAAATGAAGAATATGTTAGACATCCAAGCAGAGGGCTATAAAATCCTATTAAGAAAATTTTCAAAGGTGTAAATATCCATAGATTGAAATACTCAATATATCAAAGGTGTCAATTCTCCATTAGTTGGTAGATGAATTTAATGCAATCCCAAAGAAAATTCAGCAGGTTCTTAAAAAATAGAAATTAATAACTTGATTATAAAATTTATATGGAAATGCTAAGGACTAAACATAGCCAGGAAAGTCACGGGTAACTCAGTTGGATGACTTGCTGTACTGGGTATCAACACCTGCTAAAAGTAATTATGATAGTGTGGTATTGGTATAAAGCTAGACAAAAAGACCAATGAATCGGAATACGGAATTCAGAACAGGCCCGTGCATGTAACCCCCAAAATGAATTTATTCATTAAAAATGTGTATTTATTCTTACATGTTCAAACTTAAGTCACCTTCAAAGTACTCTCCATTTGATGCAGTATGCCTATCAAGACTTTTTTCTACAGCTCAAAACAGTTTTGACTTCATTGATTTTGATGTTTTTTGGTGCCATTTTTTGTTTCATCTCTTCCACATTGACAAAAGGTCTCCCTTTGAGGACCTTTTTCATCCAGAGGGGAAGAAGTTGCTTGGGGTGAGATTGGGTGAATAGGGAGGGTGGGGTTCAGGGGTCATGCCATTTTTGGTCAAATACTGCTGAACACTCAGCGCAGTGTGGGCAGGTGTGCTCGTAAATCACCCATCATGAAACGGGCAAATGCACTTGGAAGAGTTTTCAAAACAAAATCCACTGAAGCCCAATGCAGGGTCTCGCAACAATGCCAGCTCTGATACAGATGGGCTCCTAGAACACTCCCTAGTGGGGGAAGCCTGTACTACAAGGGGCCCACCCTACAGAAGGTAATTCTGGGTTTTTTTGGACACCCCCTCGTATGGACAGTCGATATATGACAAATTGCCACTACGGTGCAGTGAGGAAGAGACAGTCATTTCAGTGACCAGTGCTGAGCTGACTGGTTGTCCATGTGGAAAAAACTAAACTGGTTCCTGCCTTACACTATACACCACAATCGAAATACCTTCTTGATTTAGGGATAGGTAAGGATTTTTTAAAAAGGAGAAATGTAGCAGTAACCATAAAGAAAAGGTTGAAAACTTAGACGACATCCAGTTAAGAAGTTCTAGTCATCAAACAACCTATGAGAGCGAAGAGAGGGGAGTATTTACGAAGTGATAGGAGGGCCTGAGTCCACAGGAATGGCCGGTACCCTGCACCCACCAGGACCTCACCGTGGGGCCTTCTGGTAAACGTCAGACTTCAAGCTCGTGGCTTCCAGGAGGAAGCTCCTTCCCTCCCATCATCCAATGACTGTTGTTACTGCCGCTGAGATGGTAGCAGAGGAAGGACGCTCCGGGGTTTAAGTGCAACGGTGTGAATGGGGAGGGGACAGGGCCACCCTAGGCTCAGGAGCTAGGACCTTCAGAGAATCACTACCTGGGAAAAGCAAGACCTGTAACCTTTTTCCCATTTGGAGAAGTTATCCTGGGGAAGAGAAGAGATTTTGGGGTCCATCTGAACCACCTCAACCATGTCCAGTGACTGCCTCATGCTAAAGTTGACTTTATGGTGGTGAAATGGTCTGTAGTCTATTCAATGGTGTGAAGCTTTATTGTTTTAGTCTTCACATTGAGATCCACATCCACCTGGAATTGATTTTCGTGTATGATGTGACACAGGGGTCAAGTTTAATTTTTTCATATGAATATACAACTGACCCAATGCCATTTATTAAAAATAAAAATCCCTTCCAAACGTCATGGCAGTTTCCATTTTTCTAGGAGACTTGTTTTTGGAAGAAGCTAAGGGCCCCGCCAGTTTGGGTGGGGAGGAGGGAGAAGGACGTTTTGCAGAATAGCCAGCCGTGGGGCTGACCTCAGTTGCTACCTGGCTTCCCTGGACTCATTGAGGCCAGTCCACAGAGGACCCTAGCTGAGCCAAATGCAGACTCAGAGGCTGCCTGATCCCCAGCGTAGGATGCAGAACATGGCAGCCTGGTTCTGCTGGGAAACATGAGGAGGAAGCAGAGGATTCTGGGAGATGTTCTCTCTCTGAAGACCGGGTCACCAAGTGTCATACCTCCATGCTACTCCCACCCTGATTGACCCTGTGGGGGAAAAAGCCTGGGGGTGGGCTGATGCTGAGAAGGGTCTCTTTGTCACTTGGCATCTGGAAACAACCTGGGTAGAGTTTCTGTCACATGATCTCAGGAGAGCTGGGACCTGGTGATAAAGAAACATTTGCGCCCACTCTGAACTTATTTTGAGTACAAAACAAAAAACAAAAACAAAAACAAAAATAATTTCCTTTTCCACAGGTTGACTGCCAGGGACCACCTCCAGGGCAGATACCGTTGCGCCCACCCACATCTGCTCATCTCTGCGTCTCCCGTGTACACCTATCTGACTCCATTTGCCAACACCCGCATTTAAAAAATGATTTATTTATTCTTAGAGTGGGGAAGGGAGTGAGAGAGAAACAGCGATGTGCACGAGAAATATTGATTGGCGGTTGCCTCTCGTACACCCCAACTGGGGACCTGGCCAGCAATGCAGCCATGTGCCCCAGACTGGGAATTGAACTGGTGACCCTTTGGTTTGTGGGACAACACCCAACCCACCGAACCACACCAGTCAGGGCTGCTAATACCTGATTTTTTTTTTTTTTGCCTGAGAATTTTTTCTAGTTTCTGGGACCACAGGCGGACTGGAAGTGCCAGGAAGGTGGTGCTCCCCACATCCCCTGCCCCACACCATTCCAGAAACCCTCAACCACAGATTGATAAAACTTGTTGTATAAATACTCCAGCTCCCTTGCTCCTCAGGCCGGAAAACTATGGGGTGTGTTCTGGCCTGTCACCTGAACTCTCCAGCAGGAAACGTGCCTCAGGTTCCATTTCTCGGGAACCCAAACTAAGACGTGGGAAAGAAAACTGTATGAGTCAGCCTGGGTGGCCATAACAAAACGTGTGATGCCAGGAGAGAGAAGCTACAAGCACCAGCCATCAAGGTGCCGGCTGATTCAGTTCCTGGTGAGGACTCTTCCTGGCTTGTAGATGGCTACCTTGTCACTGTGCCTGAGAGGTCTGGGGTCTCTTCTTATAAGGACGCCAGTTCTACCAGCTTAGGGCCCCCTCTCATGACCTTATTTAACCTAAACACCTCCTTAAAGGCTCTATCTCCAAACATAGTCACGTGGGAGAAGGGTTAGGGCTTCAATGTATAAATATGGGGAGGCCACAATTCAGTCCATGGCAAACATCCCATTCATTAGCTCTCCCTGCTCTGTACCAGAGAGTGGGCAGTGTTGGCTCAAGGGGTGGCTTGAGCACAGTTGAGCAATTTTTGAGGACAGGTGTCACATCAGCCATGGCACCTGACCCATCTCAAGAACTGGAATGTGACCACTGTCCAGTACAGACCAGGGTTCTGCAGGAGCTGCTCAGGGACTGAGGGTGGGATGGCTTGTTTCCGGGCTCTACGCACAGGCTGGAAGTGGGAGCGTGGGGGGAGACCAGGCAAGCACTGAGAATGGGGGAGGATGACCAGAAGACCGCCCATTACGGGTCCCAGGTACTGGCCAGAAACACAAGAGAAGGAAGCGGCAGGACCAGCCCATCTGCCTCAGCAGGGGTATCTGTCCACAGGGCTGCAGGGCATGGGTGCATGGGCGCATGGGTTGGGGGAGGATAGGGTTTCCGGAGGCCAGAGCCAGCGGGCTGCCAGGAGAGAAAAGAAAACCTGAAGCTTGGGCCTGGACACTGGGCTTCCTGGACAGTGGGTCAATAAAGTGGTTCCTAGGGCCAGACAGGTAGACCTTTGAGGTCTAAGGGGCATGTCTCAGGGGAACAACAGGGATTCTTCCTGGGAGAGGGGGTAAATGAACCCAGGAATCTTGCTTCTTTACTACCCTCCCTCCAAAACTCTGAGACAGGAGAGCCAAAAAGTGCCTAGGCCTGAGGGTCAGGACTTGCTCAGATAGCACCCGGGGTGCCAAAGGCTACCCCACCCAGCCCGGGTAAGGCCCTGCAGCCTCTAGTCAGGAAGGACCTTACTTCTGGGCCTGCGCACACTAGGTAGTGTTTAGTTTGTTCTGTTCCGGTTCCCAGCAACCCCCACCTTGCAGGGAGACACTCCGTGCCTTGGTCCTGGCAAGACTGCTGGGGGACAGAGTCCTTAGTGGCAACTGTGCTCCTAGATGGAGCTCTCCAGGCCGATCCCATGCTCTGGATCTTCCAACCTGCTAGCGTGCTCCCCGTAATCCCCACAGTACCTGCAGACCTGGGCAGGGAACACTTGCTCTGCTGAACTCTGGGGCTCTTGAAAAAGCCCAAGGTGCAAGAAGGCTGCCCAGGTGTAGAACTGCCTTGAGAACTGCAGAACCGCCAAGAAAAGCAGACCCAGGCCAAGGAAGCAGGCAGGAGAGGCCGGGTGGCCACCTGCATCTGTGTTTATTATTCTGTGTTCTCCAACCCTAGCAGAGCAGAGTGTGAGGCCAGGGGCAGCTGGGCCCATTCCATGATTCTGTGGGACCAGCCAGAGTCCGTAAGACATCTATTGGGAGGAAAACCCACTACTCAGGGGGCCTGGTACCCCCTCTTCTGCACTGCCATGCCCGAAGCCCCCACTGGGATTCATGATGTGGCAAGCATGAGTGTGCAGGCTGCAGTGGGAGCGAGGCAGCTGTGGGGTCAAGAGGCCGCTGGAAGCTCCATGGGAGCCTGGGCGGGCCTCCTGAGGCTGCTGGGCATCTCCCTTGCCCTGGAGAGAAGTCGGAACGCTGGGCCAGTGAGATGGGCCAGATACAAATGGAACCTTCCCAGGCTACCTCTCCCTGAGCTGTCCTCTCCCACGGTCCCCTTCCCGTGCTCCTGTCAACCGATGTTCCAGGTCTGCACAAAGTCCATCTCTTTTAGAGGAACTGACCCAGAGAGTGAAATTCTGCATTCCAGCACCTCCCTGAGATGCTCCCCTGCCAAGAGCATCGGCACAGTGCTGGGGCTTCCAACCAGCCCCAAGGAAGGGAGGTGAGAGGAGCCTGTGGGGCTGGAGGGCCTCCATGAGAAGGAAGTCCTCTCCCCACTCAGGTCGATGGGTTGAGGTCTGTCCGAAACCCTGGCCCTGCATCTGTCTGTGTTGCCATCCAGGGTGTGCGTGTGAATTCTGGAGAGACCTCCAGTCTGGGCCAGCAGGGGCCAGACCCGTAGACCTGTTTGGGAGATGGAGAGAAGTCCTGGAGGAAAGCTGGCTGCAAGGGGACGGGAAGCCACTTCTGTTCAGTTTGGGCCACTGTGGCTCTGACAGCTGTCTAGATGGGCCCCGAAGAGGCCTGGACCCCAGCTCCCTGTCCCTGCTACCACCTTTTGTAAAGACAGCCCACCCAAGGCCGGGGAAGGAGGCAAGGCCAGCCAGAGACCTACCGTAATTAGGAGTATGCCAGGCCCTGAAGCCCCCGGGCTGGAGAGTGGAACTTCTCAGAATCCTCATAAGGCTGGTCTGCAGTAACCAAGGGGAGAGGCTGTAAGTTATGTGTAGTCTGGGGATCTTATCTGCCTGCCTCTGTGGGCTGGGGACGGTATGTAGGGCATATAACGCTTCCTGAGCACAGAGCCATCAAGAGCCTTGAAGGTAGTCAGCCACCCCAGCCCGGACCTGGAACCAGCATTGCAGAGTTGGGGGAGACATGCCCCTCGCCTAACCTTTGCTGCCCTATAGCTTCTTCAACTGAGAGATGACACTGGCCTCCTCTTCCCTGGCCAGCCTCCTCCAGAGGGCCTGGCTCAAGGAGAGGAAGCAGACGGCCAGGGACCAGGGCAGGACAGAAAGGCCTGCCTCCAGGAGCACTGACACCCACCACGGCAGCAGCGGCAGCGTGTCCCCCTCCCACGGCTCCGTGAGGGTGTTACTTCCAACACCCCTTGGCCCTGCCCAACGATCTCCCATGCTTCTCTTTGTTGGCAGGAGAAATCAATGGCCCCCTGTCATCCCCACCCCTTACCTTTCAAGCTCCAGGCACCCTTAGGTTAAGAAAAACGAGGCAAAAAATGGCTGCCCTTTCAAATCACCCTGGAGCATTATCTGACAAGCTCACCCTACGAGGCACCTTCCTCTCGGGCATGTGACTTTTTCCAACTCGCCGTACACTATTGGTTAGGACTTGGGCTTCGTTAAGTTGGAGGAAACTGATAAATGGCCAACGACAACCCCTGCACAAATGGGATGCGGAGGGGTGACATGATCTCGATTTTTTATCTGTGAGACGGGGGAGGGGAAGCTGGGCTAAACCTTGTTCAAAGTCAGTCCCTTTCCAGCCAGCGAGTGACCAGGTCCCTCACAGTGGTGTGCACTACCCTCCAGTGGACGCACAGGTCAAAAGCATGCAGTGCACGCGGGGTTCCTCCGGTCTCTCTGCTCTGGGCTCGACTGCGTGGGAGCGGGGCCTTGGGATAATTCTCAGGCCTCTCCAACTGGAATTTGTGTCCCTTTTCCCTTGGTCAAGTGGCCAGTTGATAGAGTGGTGACCACCCCAGACTGTGAGGCCCAGGGAAGCAAAGAGCCCCCTATGGAGCTCCTTGCTCTGTATCCTCTGGGGAGAAATGGTCCACTGGCTTGAGGTTCTGGTGGGATGTGGACCAAATGGGCCAGTCCCTCAAGCCCACCTGCTCCTCTAGGTCACAGTGGGGCAGAATGGACCACTTACCTGGAAGCCCCTCTCCGTGGGCTCTGGGGCAGGCCTGGGGTGGGGAGCTGGGTGGGCGCAGCACAGGGGCAAAGGCGCTCCTCTGTTTGACAGCGGAGATCATGTTGACAGGCGAGAAGGAGAAGATGCTGGTGGTGGGGGCAGCAGCCGGGAGGGACATGGAGGAGGCAGCGGCCAGCGGGGGGCTAGAGGGCATGACTCCGGGGCGGGGCGGGGAGGGGCAGGCGCAGCAGGGAAGGCAGTGGGAGACACAACAGGGAGACAGCACCAGAGTGAGCAGCGTGGGCTGCTGGCCACAGGCCCAGGCCTCACTGGGGGCTGCGAGAGTCCTGGCGAGACCAGTACAGGGCAGGACCTGGTGGTGGGCTGGGAGCCTCTGAGGTCCTGGGTCAACACTTGCCTTTTGGGGAGTTCTGGAGACTCTTTGTCAGGGCTTGAGGGGACAGAATCAGATTAGGTAAAAATAAAAGCAAAACTAGAACATCCAACAAAACCAAGTACTCAGACGTGGCCCCAAAGACGAGGGATGAGCAAGAAATAGAATAAGTTAGGATTCCTGCTGAAAACCACTGGGAGTCTGAGGTGCTGGGAAACGTTTATGGGCCCCAGAGTACCAAAGATAGAGGCAAAGATTGGGGTTCGTAGTGGAGTTGGGGCAAGTGGGCAAGGATGAAGCTTGGGGTATATAAAGGCTCCTGTTACAAGGCCTCTCTGTCCAGGGTTGGAGCTCACAGCAAGCACTTTAACTTCCTCCACAAATACATCCCCCTTACTAATCACCCCTCACCCCAGCACTTTGTTCTCTACCAGCTTAACACAGATCCTTGTCATTTGCAGCCTGGGGCCTGTATCACCCATATCACTCTCTTCCAACTGGTCAATTTTAAAGAAAGGCATAGGGATACACATTTTCAGATCTTCCTGCCTCCAACCCTGTGGCCTCCTCTCCTGGGACCCTGCCCAGGGCATGTCTGAATCCCTCTTTCTATATCCTCGTCTGGACCCAATTCCCTGCACTCCCTAAAGATCAACCAGGCTGTGATTTCAATGTTGTTCAAACGGCTGGCTATGGGGGTGGGAGCTGGGCTTTCTGGAAGAAACCAACAGCCTGAGAAGGTTAGCTGCTTTTGGCATCAAAGCACCCCCCCGCCAACACACACACATCAATACAGTGTGTCCCCTCCGCCCTGCTGCCCTGTTTCAAACATTCTCAGCTCGTGGATGCTCATCTCCTTTACAACAATGCTCATTGCCAGCTGATGAGGCCAAGTGCTCCACGGAGGGCTCGAGACAAATTTACTTTCTCTCTCAAGGCCAGGGGCTCACAGCCACGTTGTGTAGCTTGGGTATAACCGAGAGTTGTGGGTCAGTCCAGGGCTGCTGGTGGCCAAAGTAGAAGACCAAGGGGCAGCCTAAACAGCGCCAGACCCTTTGTCTGGGACAGTTCTAGAATGTCATTCTAGGCACGTCCTGGAGCACTCAGTGAAAATGAGAACCCCTGAAACTACACCACAAAGTATTCTGCACAAGAGGAATGGATGGGACCTGGGCAAGCACGAGTTAAGACAGTGTTAAGAGATGGGACTGGCCCTTGGGCAAGTCCAGGGTGTCCCCAGCTGATGCTGGAGGTAGGGCATAAGCAGCTCTAGAATTCTTGATCCTCTGGATGAACAGGGAGACCCCAGGTGGCCTGGCTTCTGCCCCCTGGAGCCATGTGTTTCTCCACTGCCGACAGCACTGTGTGTATAGTGGGGGAGCGAGGTTGCTGGTTCAGATTCCACCAGCTTCAAATCCAAGGGGCACCTAAGAGAGAGGTTTTAAGAGTACTGTCCCAGAACTGAAGGGAAAAGAGAGCGGTGCAGACTGGCCTGAGCAAGTGGCCAGGAGAGACAGAGGTCTTAGGAGGGGTTCCAGAGGGTTGTGGCCTGTGTGGACACTGGGTTATGGGGCCCACAGTTCCAGAAACTGAGTCCAGGAAGAGAGGAGATGGCACACTCAAACCCACAGCCAGAAAGAGCAGTGCCCAGGATGCAGGCCCCTGGCAAGGAAGGCTGGGCAGGTGGCCAGATATTTGGATCCTCAGCAGTAGCAAACATAAGACGGGGAACAGGTGAGGAAACTGCAGGAAAAGTCACAACTAGCTTCTCCTTGGGCAGCCTTCTGGCTCAGCAGCATCTCCCAGAACTTGAGGTACAGACTCTCTTACAGTTGGCAGGGAGGTGTTTTGTATGCAATAGGTGCTTTATAAATGCCTGCTGAATAGCTAAGGTATAAGGAGCTGAAAACAAGCCATTTTGGAACTTGGTGTTGGAAAGAGGGACTTGAGGTCCAGTGCAAATGGTAGAAGCATACATGTCCTGTTGCCCATCCACCGAGCTTTGAACTGCACCCCCCGCCCAGAAGCCAGACAGAGGATGATTAGTGCCCAATGACACGTTCAGATCTAGGAACAAGCCTAGGCAGGGGGTGACAATGATTCTATTCTACAGTGAAGAAACTGATGTCCAAAGTGAATAACATGCCAAATGACAGATAGCTCCTGATCTGAACACTCAAACTCTAAATCCAGTTGTCTGGCCACACAGAATTCGCTCGCTCTACCTGGTCCCACGGCAGGGAGCCACATCTTCCCTGCTCCCACGCGGCCTATCAGAACAATGCTACAGCGGAGTGTGGGGCCAGGGGAAAGCCCACTTATCTTGAGCCCTGAGTTCCCTCAGGCTTCCGGCAGGGGGAGCCATCCTCCTCCCAAAGTCCTAGTATAAGATGGAAAGGGGGCGGTGGGCCAGGTTTCAGCAGGATGTCCCCTAGTTAAAACCCCATTTCAAGAGGGCACAAGTACTAGAAGCGATGTGTGCTGAGTCAGCAAAAAGAGCTAAAGATGCAAGAACTGCCCCAGGCCCCGAGCCTGGGATACGAAGCCGGGGAATCAAGTTGAGTGTCTGACCCCCGACCTCAGAGAGAGGTCAAACGCAGGCCAGCCTGGCATCCAACGGAAGGGCCAGTGCCGGTTCTCACGGGACAGGTGCTGGAAGCAACCCCCCTGCTCCCCAGGGCTGAGCCCCACTTTGCTCCCCGGGGTCCTGGTTCCTCCCTCCTTCGGTAGGGGGCACTCACTGGCGAAGGGTGAGGTGGCCGTGGAGCCATTGAGGAAGCTAGGGGAGCCGGGCACGCCGAGGCCAGCCACTCCCGGAGTCCCGTAGCCGCCGAGGCCCGCTCCGAGGCCACTGCCATAGCTGCTCTGCTGGGAGCCCGGGCTGGGCGCAAACCCGCGCGGGGACGCGCTGCTGCAGCTGCGGGCGTAGCCTGTGAGAGAGCGGAGTCAGGCGAGCGCTGCGGCCGGGAAGGGGCTGTCGGCGCGCTGGAACTGCGGTACGTACCCGGCTCCGGGCCCGGCGTGGCTTCCCCGACTGCCACGGCCAGCGGGCTGCTGAAGGCGTTGATGCCCACGACGGCGGGGTGCGGGTGGCTGGGCGCCAGGGGCCCGAGTGGCGCGGGCGCGCGGGGGGCGCTGTACAGAGCCTCGGCGACATCCGCGGCGCGCTTCAGCAGGAGCTCCTGTGAAGACACGAGCGGGGCAGGGGCAGCTGTGGGCGCCGGGACGGGGACAGCCCTGGGCTCGGCGGCCGGGAGGCGGCAGGAGGCGCCATACCTGGTTACTGCTCGGCACTCCGTACAGGGCCTCCGCCAAGTCCGCCGCCCGCTTCAACAGCACTTCCTGGGGGCCGGGGAGGAGACAGCGGGACCAAGGAGCAGCTCCCGGGGGTCGACAGAGCGGCCGGGGACCCCCTTCTCCACTCCCCACCTCTAAGCCACAGAATGCCCTCATCCCTGCCCTGCCGCGCCCCTCTGAGTACCTTGGGCAGTCTCTCGGGATCTCCGGGGTGTCTGGGAATGACTTTTTGTAGCCTCTGGAATCCGTAGTCAATGGTGGGTTCGTTCAGGGCTGGGGAAAAAGGCAGCGTGTGCAGGACGCTGCGTCCCAGCGCCCGGCGCGGGCCCCGCCCACCGGCCGCCAGTCCCGGAGCCTCGCCGCAGACCCCTGCACCCAGCCCGGCCCACACCCCGGGCACCCGGACTCAGTGAGGTTCGAAGTTTCCTCAGATCCTTTCTTATCACCAAGAGGGAAACTGTATGTACATATTAGCTTCCGCAGAACCGGAGGGGGAGTTTTCTGTCTACATCTGATCTTATCAGGAGTAAATTATTTGTTATAAAACAGAACCCCGCCGCCCCTCAATGATCTCCATTTGTCCCTCAATCCAACTTAACTCGCCCGCGTCTAAGCCTTATCTACCTTCACCTCCAACTTCAGATTTAGAGATTTTCTTTAGTTTCCCCCAAGGCGTAAAACATGCACCCCAGGTCTTTGCCCTGTAAACCTCCTCCCTTCTCCCCGGAGGACGTTCCTTCCCGATCTCCACCTGCGCACTCCTCCCCCCAGTCCCAGTTCAGCCCGCACTCCCTCCAGGAGGAATTCCGTGACCGCCACACCCTGTGTGCACTGCTTAACCTTCCCTTAGACCGCCAACTCCCTGACGGTAAGTAGGGTCACTGCCAAGTGGTGGGAGCCCGCAAAGGGCTCCGTGACTATCTGTTGGGTAGGGTGGGAGAGACGGGCAGCAGCGAGGGGCCTGGACTGGGGCGCGGAGGTGGAGAGGATTCTGACCACTGGCCAAATTTTACCCTGCATCTTCAGGGAGTGGCTTTCCCTCAGGTCATGTGTTAACTTCTTGCCGTGGCTTCTTGCAAGGGTGTGTGTATGCATGCAGAGTGGGGCTTGGGGGAACCAGGACACCCTGGGAGGATTCAGGGAGCAGCGAGCTTATTTGGGGGCACCTGTGAAATCAACATCCTCATGGAGATGTTCTAGACTCTGGGGAGTGGGATGTTCTAGACACTCTGGCGAGAAGTCCCAAGGCAGAGGATGTTGAGGAGGGCGCATACTCCACGCCAGGGAGGGGACTGAGGAGCCAGAGGCCAGGGAAAGAGAAGCACTGGGTAAGAAAATCAAAGGAGGAGGGGTCATACAGCACTGGTGGGTGGCCCGGATAGGGAGAAAAGCAGCAGCCAGGGGGCGTGGCCAAACGGTAGACTGGGTAGCTCGGAGACCAGGGTTCAGCGCGGTAAGCAGGACCCAGCTCCTTCCACCCAACCTCGGCCTCCCCTCTCACCCCTGACTCCTTACCTGTGTAGACAAAGCGGCCAGGGGCTCCCTTGCAAAACTGCTTGGACTTGTAGGACAGGGTCACCTCCACCACCCCGGGAATGTGCCTCGGGGGCGTCTGCACCCGAATGGCGTGGGGAGTGATGAGCTGTAAAGGGAGAGAGGAAGCCTGCAAGTTCCCACGCGACGAGGGGAGGGGCGAGGGTCCAGCCCCAAGGTCCGGAGGGAGTCTGGCAGGGGTGGCCCACCTCGCTCCACACGAGCACGTTTCCGAACACGACCTGCAACCCATCGAAGAAGTTGTCCCCAATGACAATGACGGTGGCGCCGCCGGTGGTCCAGCCCTCCCCAGGGCTGATGGCCTTTATGCAGGGGGTGGCAGCTGGGAGGCAGGAGAGGAGCCAGGTCAGGGCCTGGCCCCAAGGTGGGGCCTGGAGGTTGGCTGGGCCTGCGGCAGTGGGACAGGTCGGGGAGTCCTGACCTTCGGAGGGGTCCAGGCGGCGTGCCCTGCGGCCGTGCTTAGAGTTGTTGTGCACAAACATGTTGTCAGACACGGCCAGCACGTGTCCGTCCACGCTCACGGTCGTGGACACCACCACCTGCGGGGAGAGCCGAGGCCAGCCTGGCTGGAGCCCTGGAGAGAGGGAGGCTCCCAGGAGGGAATTGTTGTGGATGACCAGCAACTTGAGGCTGGTGTCTGGATGCTAGAATTCAGGGTCTCTGGCATGGGGAAGAGCTTCAGCGCCTCAGGGGCTGAGCTGGTGGAAGGGGAGCCAGCTGGGTCAGGTGACACCCTAGAAGCACAATCTCTGGCTGCCCAGGGAAACTGACCCCCAGGAGCTAGAAAAATCAAGAGCTCTGGAAAAAACAAAAACAAAAAAACAAAAAACCTGTCTCCCTGGGTGGAGTGGCTACTGTTTTTGCACATACATAGTAGCCCAGGCTGCATCCCCCGGGGCTTCAAGGCAGGAATGGGTCTTAGGTAAGTGGCAATGAGAGTTTTGATGGGGGTGGAGGTGCAGCATCAGCTTGAGAACCCATCAGCAGGAACCCCCACCCTTTGGAGGAAATTGGGGCTGCCTTCTTCGCCCCTCCTTCACTGGGATGGGTGTGCAGGTTGGGGATGTGCTAAGGGCAGCTGCTCTCTGCTTTACGCTATGCAAATTAGCTAGGTCGTTAATCATGTAAAAATGTCACAATTAGCATCTCCTTAAGTGGGACTCTAATGAAGCCTCCCTTGGCAGCCGGCATAAGTTGAGATGGAGCCACTCCACCCCCAGCAGGCACCAGACCCTGCGGCACAGCGCTGGGCTGGGCAGGGACCTGCCCTCCAGGCCTTTCCTAGGGTGACGGGGCTTTGGCCTGCCCGGTTCCCACTGTCGGGAAAGGGCAGATTTACAGGGGGGGACCCTCTCCCCAGACCCACCTGGAAGCGGCGCATGTCTCGGGGATTCCCTGCGTTCTTCAGGCAGTTCTGGTTGCATTTGAGGAAGAACTTGAGAAAGAACCTGAAACAGTGTAGTCAGTGGGCTCATGGGTCTGGGGGTTCTGGAAACAGGTGAAGAGCCAACTGCTCCCTGCCACCTGTCCTCCCAGCGGAGCGACCATTCTGTCTGCTCACACGCAGGCACACCCCCCACGTCCCCATCACAAGCTGCACACGCACAGGATGCCTGATGCCCAGAGAGGAGACCTGTCCCAACGACTACTTCGTACACAGAATGTCCCCACAGGGTAGGGTCACATGGTGCCTGTTTGTCCCACAAAGTGTGTACTCATCACACTTACACAAAATGTGCTGCCAAAGAATGTGTCCGTTATATACACCGAATGTACCTCTGACTTGTGAATTATACCCACCACACAATGTGCACTTCATATGCAGCCGGTACTCACACTTACCTGTAAGCTTACCCCACTCTGTGTATATTTGTCATAGTATATGCCCATGGTATATACGCATCCATATCACATAGCATGTCCGCCCCCCACAGTATATCCATCACCTGCACAGTGTATACTGTCATAAACTGTGTATCCTTTCTACACACTGTATATGCCTTATACACTATTACCAAATGGCCACCACACAGTGTGTACCCACCACACTCGGGGTACACCCTTCACAGAAGCCTTCACTAGATGTGCTCCACATACAGCCTGCACTTATCACACCACGATATATACAAATTACAGTCTGCCCATTGCGCACAGTGCATGCTCATCCTACATAGTATATGCACAGAAAGAACAGGGCTGTATATGCATTAATATACCATTTAATGTTGTATACGATTGCCCAAAATATAGTCATCACAAGTACTGTACAGTCATCACATACAGCAAACAGGTCCCCCTTCCTCCTTCACAGCTGACCCCCCCCAACAAATCCCCCTCACAACACAGATCCTGCTCATGCACAGCGGACCCCCTGCCCCAGGACCTCCAAAGAGATCTTCCTCACACCCTCTATATCCATTATACACAGAGTAAAAACCTAATCACACTGCGCCTATGCCCATCATACACACATCAAGTACCTGTCAGACACTCGGTACAGACACAGTGAATGCCTTCTTTTTCACATACAGTAGTAATTGGAAAAAAGCACAGCCTATGCAGTGATGAGGCTGCTTTTTAGACGAATACATGAGCACCTGGTCTTCCATTCTTCCAGGCAGCTGGCCGAGATGGTGGGGCCTTGGCCCCGCCACCCACCAGTGAGGTAACCACAGATAACCTTCTGGTTTTGGACTCTCAGCAAATTTGGAATGCTGTCACTATGGGTCTCAGTCGCTATGGGGCTCTCTGAGCACCTGGGGAGATGCCCTGTGCAAACTGAAGCGTGAGGGGGTCCTAGCATGTGGTGCAGCCTCCTGGGCTGCTCTATGAGCCCCTCTGGTCAGCTCCCTCATTTTATCACCACCCCCTAGTTTTGAACTCTGAATCTAAACATCTGTTTTAACTCATCAGAGTTGCTCTCAGAGTCTACAAACAGGAAATTCACATTCAAAGAACGATCTGATACAGGCTCTGAAAACAAGTCCAAAAAGAGGAGTTCCCCAAGTGGTGGGTGCCACTTCTGGAACAGAGGTGTCCCGGGGGGAGCCTCGCTGGGTGCTGGCACTAGTCGCTGTCCTGGAGATGTACCTCATCCCAGGCCCTGCCTCTGTCCCACTGCGGACCCCAGTTCCCCAGAACCTGTCAGTTCCCTCTGCACAACGGGTGCCCTCTGGGAACCCCCGTTAGTTCCCTTTCCATATGCACATTACATCGGCACATATTTCCATCCTCAAGGAACACCCCCAAATACTTTCACATAGTGCAGACCTTCTATACGCCCCTGCAGAGCACTCTTGAGGTGCAGGCATGCCATTGGCCCTGAATTATACACACCCATCATGTGTCTCCTTCATCCACCCCTGCAAGGTGCCCTGCAGTACACACAGCTCTCGTGCCTCCAAACGGTAGTCACCACAGTGTAGATGCCACATGTAATCCAGTAGGTCCCCCAAGGCGCAGGCACCTCAAATGCTCCCAAATACTATACCTGCGCAGAGTAGACACTCCATTTATGTCACATTATATGCCACAGTAAAGACTCCCTGTTGCCCTATAAGACACCCCATGTTGCAGACACCTCTATGCCCACAGCCGTCATCTAGTGCATGTCCCTCGTTTATATGACAGAGTGCTGACACCCTAACCACACGCAGTGTAGACCAGTTTATTTAAATTCTGTGTTAATAAACTCAGTCCTTCACAAGGTGCTAAACTGAGGAGGACAAAAGGGCAGGATAGGACATAGTCCCTGTCCTGAAGGGGGTAAATGCTGACCCTTGGATGTCACTGACAATTCAACAAGCATGGGCCTGCCCCGAGGGTGACACATGCTTCCCCTACATGCTCACATGTGTCCACTGCATGCAACCCTGCTTCCAAACCTATACAGTCCGGAGGAAGGGCTCCTGGGTAGGGGCTGGAGAGGCAGGCTCTGGTCCAGGCACTGGCTCGTGGTGAGGGCCACAGTGAGTCCTGCTGGCCTGGCATCCACCCTGATCCAGGAACCGGAAGAGCAGCAACTGAGGGCTGCCAAGGCACCTCCGGTCCTGCCTCTGGGGAGTCCTTTATTTCCACCTCCCCAGTGCCCGTGCCTCGGGCCACTGCCTCCCGCAGGGCCCTGGCTCCCTCTGGGGACTCCCTCATGGACCCTTCCACAGCTCTTGCTCAGCAGGTCTTCCTACCTTTCCCTTTCCATTATAGGCTGCATTTGTCCTTTGGGGCCACACCAACGCTCACTTCTGGTCTGACCTTTGGAGACCACCCCTCCCTGAGAGCCCCAGGACATCTGTTTTTGAGGCTGGTTGGCATTGCCTGTAGAGGGGTGTTGAGCAGGAAGTGACCACACAAGGCCTGGGCCCTCCTCAGGGTGATGACCATCAGTTCCCTTTCCCCTTCCCCCTGAGCTTCCAGCTCAGAACTGCACATGGTAGGTGACGCCAATGGTGGAGCTGCTGGAATCTCATCCATGCTGGCTGGCGGTCCACGAGGCTGCTCCCACCCGGTCAGAGGCGTGCCAACGCACACTCTCTCCAGAGAGCCTGCAGCTGCAGCAGTGCACGCCCTGACCCTCCTCACCAGCCCCTGGGCTACTAAGAAAAATCACCCACAACTTGCAAATAAGGCAAAAAGATGACTGTGAGTCCTTTCAAAGCCATCCTGGAACAGTGGTTTTCAAAGTGTGGTCCTTGGACCAGCAGCAACAGCATCACCACCTGGGAACTGGCTAGAAATGCAGAAACCTCAGGCCTCACCTCAGACACACGGAATCAGAAACTCTTGGGCGAGGGCCTAGCCACCTGTGTTTTCATCATTCCTCCAGGTGATTCTGACGCCTCCTAAGGTCTGAGAAGCACTGCCCTAGAGACGCACCACCCGTACACCGGCCACTGGCCCTGTATGGCATCATCGAGCACTTCAAAGGTAGTTAGTTAGAACTGAGATGTGCTGTAAATATAAAATCCCTCTCGGATAGGTTTCAATTGTTTAGTTAGAAAAAGAGAATGTAAAAGACCTCATCAGTAAATTTTTTGGTATTGATTATATATTGCAATGATAATAATTTTGGATATATTTGGTTAAATAAAATGTATTGAACAGCCCTGAACGATGTAGCTCATTGGTTGGACACTGTCCCTGGAAATGAAAGGTCTGATTCCTGGTCAGGACACATGCCCAGGTTGCAGGTTCAGTGGTCCCTGGCCAGGGAGCACATGAGAGTCAACTAATCGATGTTTCTCTGCCTCTGTTTCTCCCTCCCTTCCCTGCTTACTAAAAATAAATTTTAAAAATTGTCACAATTAATGTTACCAGTTACTTCTTTTTTTTTCAAAGTGCGGTTATTAGAAAATTAAAAATTACACATGTGGTTTGCATTATACTTATGTTGACAGTGTTGCTGTAGAGTATTATGTTAACAAAGCCATCTGAGAGTTAGCTGATTCTCCCGGGGAAGTAACTTTGACCCATATTCACTACTGACTGGGGCCCAGACCACTTAAAATTAGGTGCTAATAATCTACAGAAAACTGGTAAGATGCAAGTGATTTTTGTTGGGAGAAGTAAATCATTTCTGTTTGGTAGAGAAATTAGCCCTACAGGTTACAATTTTACTTATTGTCCTAAGGACATTAACTAGCTTCATATCTAACTTGGCAACCTTATTCTAGTATTTTTCACGTATCACATTTCTTCTCCCATCCACCCTCCCTGCCTCCACCCCTCTCCGTAACTACATACTCCCTGGAAAGAAGACAGCCTGGCAGGGTCTGGGAAAGTGAGGATTGAACCATCCTGCTCTGGGGCCGGGGCCATCCCACAGGGAACAAAGGCAGGAAGGGATGAGGACTTTGTTCCTAGGGGCTGCGAAGTTCTGCTTGTTGTCATGGAAGCCCCTCCCTCCCAAGCCTGGATGATGCCAGGGGTGGGAGAGGATGGGAGGACAGGAGAAGGGTGTTTCTGAAAAGCCTCACCCCATAGGGCTTGCAGAGAGCCTGGGGGAGCCCCTTTTACCTGGCTGGGTGGGGCCAAGCCCACAGCCCTGGCTGAGTTGAGTACCCCTACGGGAGGTGAACGATTTAGGATGCCCCCTGGGTTAGGCAGGACCTGTGCCCAGTGCCATTTTTACTGTGGCCATAAGGCTATTTGGGGCCATGATCCCACAGAAAGGGTGGCAAGAGAAAGGTCAAGTCCTAGGAGCTGCCACTGGAATTACTAGAAGAAAACACCATGAGTTACAGATAAAATACAAAACTGCGAAAAGAAATTTAAAAAGTATCTGGGTCTGATTTATCAAGCACTTAGCCACAGCTTGGAATTCTGCTGAGTCCTCACTTGCATTATCTCATTTAATCCTCTCACAGTTTTGGGGTAGTAGGGGTACATCTGCAATCACGTCTACTTTACAGATGAGAACACTGAGGGTGAGCAAGAATAAGCTGCAAAGTCA